CATTATTAATAAAGGCGTAATAACATACTGACAAGGCCGTTAATAGTTAATTTGTAAATTTCTATAAATAGGTAAGGGAATTCCAATGACCTATAAGAGTAACGTTGAACTTTTTTAATCCGCAAAGATTAATTAATATTAATTAATTTTAGAATTAAGGCTATACGCTGAATGAGTAAAAAAAGGCTATTGTATTGATAATAGTGTTAGAATTCTTCTTTCTAAATGATATAATTATTTCGGATTGGAGGGGTAATAGGTAATTATTAGGAATAGTAACCTTATTAAGGGTACGGAGATTTATCACGACCTATCCCTTCTATTACCCTTTAACGGTACGTTGAATTACGAAGATTGGGTAAATAAATAGTATTATATAATTAACCTAATTTTTTTTACTTTATTTATGGAGGGAGTTAAATATTTAGTTTAGGACTTCGCAATCCTTTTTACTTAGTAGGTAGGAATACGCTTAGATATATTAATTTTACCAACCTTCGATTAAAGGAATATAATATTTTCCTCCTTTATTGAAATAACGCCCCCCTTTTCCTATAAAGCTGGGTATTCGTTAATAATCTCTTCGATTTTTCGTACGAAATTTAGATTTTGGGTATAAATGTAGATACTTTAATTCGTTACTTTTTTTAGTATATTATCCGATATTTTAAAACCGAATATAAAATACCTTTCTATTTCCGCTTTTAATAGTAGTATTTCCGTATAATTTATACCGTTTATTTCCTCAGTAATTTCGAATGCTATATTCTCGTCCTTTACTATAAACTTAGCGAGGATCTTTTCATTAATTATATTATTAATATAATTATACTTATCCGGAGGGTTTGTAACGTTAAGGAATAGAAATTCGACGCCTTTCTACATCTCTTCTACTATATTAAATATTCGAATAACCGGGACTTCGAATTTTTAATTAAATAAAGTCTTTATTCATATAATAACTACTAAATTTATAATTATTCTTTTTTGAGAGAGCTAAATATCTACTATCCGTAGCTTCAATAATACTACTAATATGAAACTTCTTTAGGATAACTAGTATCCCGCTAATAGTATTATTGACGAATATTATTACTGGGGATTCCGTATTTACTATTATATTAGCTGTAGTAGCGTATTGTAAATTTAGTATAAAATTCCTATCCTTAGGGAGGGGCTTATACTATATTAGACCATACTTTAATTAGCTTAATAGAAATATAGTTTTTTTAATAGTAGTAACCTTTTTTAAATATAGTTTGGAATTGGCTTAGGTAACGAAGTTGATTTAAAAATCGTCTAAATTTTAGAAAGTACTAGTTTTTAATTTATAGTCCGTATTAGCGCTACATAAATATAAGAAACTATTACTAAATAATATATTTAATTCCAATTTATCTATTACTTATATACCTTTTATAAATTTTATTAAAGTAGGGTTACTACTCTTATTGTAACCTTCGAAATATATTTTGAAGGTGGCCCATTCGGAAATATCGATTAATTTTCTACCTACTCCCTTTATTTTCGTTTATTGAAGTTTGGTAGTATATTTTAAAGTTAAGAGGAAATATTTCCCGATTAACGTCCTATTAGTACCGGGATTTATATAGACTTCTAATATATTAATTCCGGGTATTAATTTAGTATTAACGTGTATGTAGGTATAATTGGAAATTAGGCTATTATTAATATATATTATAATTATTATCTAACTAAGTTTTTGAATTTCAATTAAGGTTATAGTTCCTATAAGTATTAGTATAAATTATAGTATTAGGGTTGGCTCTTCTCCCTTTAATCGACCCTCCTTAATTAATTAATATTTCTTTAAATATTAAAATAGTATATTGTATAATATATAGCGCTTTGATGGCGGTTGCCAGATAGGGTCGTTGTAAAGTGGTAAATATTCATACAGAAAGAAGAAGGTAGAGGCTCGGGAGCCCACACCAGCGACTGGGATTATAAACCCAGTCGCGGGTCGTTTCCTTATCTAATTTAAAGTGGGCTAGCGATTTACAGGCACCTGCGCCTGAGTCGCGCATATAACTACTACCGTCCCGGCAGGCAACCTGCCTACTGCGGGTATAGTTTACTTAGTATGCCTATATGGTTATAATGGCTATATATAGAAATGAGTCTATCCGGTATTAAATGCCGGGGTACAAAGAAGATCTTTTACTATCCTTAATAATTATTTTTAATCTTCTTTATTTACAAAGTAGATAATCCTTTTTCTTTTATAGTTTAGAACCGGTTAGGAGGTTCTTAGGCCTTCCTCCTATATACTCCTAGTTTGAGTTTACTAGTTCCTTAGAATTACGTAATTACTATTCCGATTTCTATTCGTTCTTATAATAATTATACCCTTTCTATTTAATTTAGTATTTATACCCGGTGCGTATTTTGTTTAGTTTATGCCGGACTACCCGTTTGACTTCGTATACTTTGCCTTCTTTGAAATTGGAGGATTGGGAATTTTTAATTAGATTGGGGGGCGGCTGGGTTCTATTAAATAGGTTATTGCTTAGGGTTCTAGAGAGATATGTCATTAAAATAACTAGGTAGATTTTAATAGTAGTAGGGAGCTCTAATTTATATATCAGTCGGCCAACTTTCTCTAGTACTTTGAAGGGTCCCGATTATTATTATAATAGCTTCCTTGAGGGTTGTCCTAATAAAAAATATTCATAATATAACTTTAAAAGTACTATATCCCCTTTTTCGAATTGGATGGGTTGGTGCTTTGAATTATATTTTCATTTAATTTCGGCCGTTGTAAAGTCTATAGTTAATTAAGTATTTTATCAGAGGAATTCCTTTAAGGCGGGTGTGTCCGCGATTCCCTCCGGGGATATTAGATCTAATAGGCCTGGTAATCGAAAGTTAAATAGTTTTTTATAAAGGTTGGATTTGATTAGGTTAGTATATAAGTTATTTAGGTTCTATTGGAGCGTGGGGATGATATTAGTCTATTTGGCGTTAGGTTGATCGAAGGTATAGAATTGTAGGGCGATCTCAATAATTTAATTCTTTTTCTCTATTATACCGTTTATTTAGGGGTAGTATATTATATTTATTAGAAGTTTAATTCTTAGGGAGGCTTATATTCCTTTCTAAAAGGTTGAAGTAAATTTTTTATCCTTATTAGAGATAATACTATATAAGATCCCCTAATTATATAGAAGAAGGAATTTTATTAGGAGGGTTCCCTATTTTTTAACTATATATATTAAATAGCCTATTAGTAGTAATAACCGTTTTATAGCCTTATCCAATATTAGTATTAGGTAGTTAAAGGTATTATGATTGGATATTTGTTATATTGTCCCTTTTAATGGTACTTCGGGTAGTCCAATTATAAAATTTATTATAATAATTCTTATTAGTAGTTGATCCCCTTTACTAACTCTAATTGGCTAGTATTCCCCATTAGGTTTCATTCTACTTATTTAATTAAAAATGCAGGATAGGTAGTATTATATGTATTTCTTAACTATTTTTGTCTTATTATTTATTATAATGTTTCTTAATTTGTAAAGTATTCTATTTCGCTTAAAATGGTGCTTATCGTTATATATTATTTCTAATACTTTTTTCACTATATTATATAATACGTAGAGGCTTTTAATTTTATCGGGTTGGATATAATATAAAAGGTCGTCCTTAAATATAAATAGTATGCCCGGCTTTAAAAGAAATTGTTCACCATCCTCGGTAATTATCGGTAGTTTTTTCAGATCCTTGAATAGTAGGGCGTACTTTACGTCTTTACTATATCCTTTAATGAACTTTTCCTTTACCGATTTATTTATCTTAGCTTGTACTAGGGTAATATAAGCTTAGTTCTCCCTAATAAATTATATATTGTTTAGGACCGGCTCGCCCTTTAGTTACTAGTTCGTATTACTAATAGCCTTCAACCTAGATAGTATATTCGGGATATAATTCAGCTTACCTACTAAGTAATGTACTTTTAGGTTGTATATTAATAAGTATATAGAGGCGTTAATCAAGCGACGGTTCGTTCTAATAATTAAAGAAATATTTAGGGTAGTCTATTCTACGATCCCCTTCATCGCCGGATAATCGGTTAATACTACTACGGATATACTATTTAAATATAGTATTTTACGTAACCGTTTTACTATCTACATTAAACAAATTACTTCTAATTTCGATAAACTGTATTATAATTCCGTATTAGTTAAATATTTATTTAGGAATATAATTGGTAATACTTAATTAAAGGGTATTATTATCCTAAGCATTTATATATATCCTTTTTTAACGTAGAAGACCATTATTCTAAAGTTTCTTTCTAATAAGCTATCTATTTAGAGGAATAGTTGTTTATCCGGATTAAAGTAGTAAAGAATTATCGGGTCTTCTTTATAAATAATTTCCTATAATACTTTAAAAGATTTTAGTTTTTTTTATATCGGTTCGTAGTAGGTCGATCTATAATAATTCTACCGTTTAGTTAGCTTACTATTCTCTACTACCCTTTTCTTTTATTCTTTAGCTAGTAAATTAACTTTACACTTTTATAATAGTTCGGATATTTATGTATAGTATGCTATTAAGTGCCGAATAAACCCTGTTCTTCTAATATATTATCTAAGTATTCGGAATTACTTTAGGAAGGTTAAGTTCTTAAATGTTTGCAATCTATCGGCTGTATTAACGAGACTTAGGGCGTAGACTCTAAAACTAAGTAATTCTACGCTAGGGTATCCCATTTAGGATTTCTTTAGCGATAAAATAATATTATTATTAATTAATAGTTTGAAGATGCTTTTGAAGTAGTATAAATATTTTTTTATTATATTGGAGAAGATAATAATATTATTAATAAAAGTTCGATAGAAGTATTTATATATTTAGGAGTTTGTCTATATAGCGTTGAATATAGGCCGGTATATTTCTATAGCCTATTAGAGTAATTATTGGCCGTTCTAGTCCTTTTGGGCTAATAAGAGTAAATTTATTACAATATGGCAGCTATATTCCGAATTGGTAAAAGAAAATTATTGTATCGATTACGGTAATTTATATTTTCCTTTTTAGTATAGCGATTACTTTTAACTATAGCAGTAGAAGGTAATTATTTAGGATTAATACTTTATTAAGGTTATATAAATTAATTACCACCCTTATTTTTAGTGTACTATATACTTTTCTCTATATTATAAAAACGGAATGTACGAATAGGGTGGCTTTAATTACTTATTCTATTTTTCTTTTATTATATAGTTCGCTAAATATCTAGTCTAGTATTTTACAGTCTTTCCTATTTAGGGGGTATAATTATACGGCGATTCGTTGGTTTTACTACTCCTCTATTAGGGGGACCTTTATTAAATCATCCGGTAATTATTTTATTAATTTATTATTATCCTAGAATTTAGTGAAGGCTTTCACGAAGCACTTCAATTTGCCTACTATACCTTTATTTCTGGTATATATATAAATTCCTTCTTCTATTATTATTTGTAATTCGTTTATTAGTATTTTTAATTCTGAAATAGATTGTTTTTCCAGTATTCAAGGCTTTTTATCGTTAGTTTCTATTAGTTCAATAGGGATATTATAGGGCTATATTAGATCGATAGACATTTTTTCTATTATATTGAATATTAAGTCGAGTATAAGGGTTTCGGATTTTGATAGGTCCAGTAGCGGAAGTAGCGCAGGTTTATTACCGGTAACTATCCCTTCTATAATTACTAGAATACGATTATCTTTAGGGAATTTATAGTTGGCTATAGTCGTAATATTAGTAATATTTAGTATAGGGGTAAGCTCAATATTAATTATATATAATATATCGGTATAAGCCCCTATTCCGGGTAGGTGTCCTATTGTTAATAGGGTAGCGCTAATTATTAATATTTTTATCATTTTAATCTAAACTATTATAAAATAGCTATAATCTATTATTTCGCAAATTTCTCCTACTTTATTATATTTATTAATAGTAAGTGGTCCGTCCAATAAGTTTATTATTTTTACAATTTAGGGAGTTTTTGCGTCAATTATACTATAGATTGTAGTATTATATTTAGCAATAAAGCTGAAGCTTCTATCCGTAGGAAGGGGGGTATAGGTAATAGGTATAAACGCCTCCTAACGGGGTATTAATACTACCCTCCTTATTATTATTACCCTTTTTTTATATAGGTCGCAGTATCATAAGTTCCGAAAGCGATATTAAACTTATCTAAATTCGGGAAGGTAATCCTACTTATATTATTATCAATTATTAATTTATAGGGGTATAAGAAGTTATTTCCTAGCAAAATATTTAATTTTAATTTATTAATTACCTATTTAAATTTAATAAATTTTATTATTATAGGGTTGCTATTGCGGTCTTTTCCGGGGAGGTAGAAGGTAAAGGTTACTTAATTTTAAGTATCCTATTTACCGCCCTCGATTCCCGATATATAGCCGCTACGTTTCTTAATTTTATAGTTGAATTTGTATAGGAAGTCCCAGCGGACAATTATTCTACCGGCGCCATTATCGATATATATTTCGTTTATACCCTCGTATTTATCGAAGTTAGGTTTTACAGCAATACGGAGGTAGGTGAAATTTAATAGCGGGTTCTAATCGATTTCGGTTGTAATGTCGGGTACTTCTTTTATTATATAATCGAAGGTTCTATCGATGAAAAGTACATCATCCGTTATAAAAACTTCTAAGTATTTTATTTTAGGTTCAGGGCTTGCTTCTTATTAAATCAGGTCGTTAATTTTTACTTCTTTACCCTAAGGGCAGATTTTCAAATATTTAAAAAGAACGTTACAGAATTTATATAGTTTATAATAATAACTATAAGTACGCCTATACGGCTAATTAGCTTTAATACTAATACTTTCTACCCTAGCGGCTTAATAGGGGCGGTATTTACGGCTATACCGTCTAGCTATTAAGTCGGACCTAAATAATTAATTATATTTATAGTATATACGTACGTTTCCTATTATTATATAAACGGAGTTACTACTATTATCTTTAGCGTTAGAGAGGTTTGAGGCGGAGGCGGGTAAGTTATTATCTTCGTTAATATAATAAAAATAATTGTAAAATAGTTTATTAAGTATTTTTCGGTTTCTATATTAGTTATTTTATTTTTCGCGGCTATTATACTTATTATAGTCGTCGCCGGCGCAGTCCTTATTATAGTATCTATCGCTACGATTTTTATTGCGGGATTTATCAAAGCAATTCTAGCTATCACGTTTATTATTATTTAATTGGTATCGGCTGCTTTATTTATTATCTCAATATTTATTACTATCCCTTCTATCCCGGTAGTTCTAATTATTAGAATAGTATCGGTTGCGGTTATCGTCCTTATACATATTTTTAGTTACGGCTAGCAAAACCGCTTTGACTTCTTCTACGGTTTCTATATAGTCCTTAAAATTTACGTTCGATTTTGGGGCGTATAAATATTGTCTTATCTTTACATTTATATTAATCCAAATTTTGATCATTAATTTGTATTAATTGTTATTTTGCTCGTTTAGGATACCTATTGCCTTGGCCTATTTGAGTTTTTTCTAAATAAACTGGATTAAAATTATATTATTCCTAGTAATATCCTTTAGGTATAGTTTAGCGGCAGTGAATTTTCGGGTAGCTATACTTAGGTTAAGGGTCTAATAAGTTTTTAGAGCCTTTATCTATTCAGTGAAGGGTTTTTACTAAAGTTTTAATTGCCTTTAACTAATAACCTCAATTATTTACTAGATAGTAGTAAGGCTACCGAATAGGGTTAAAAGAATATTTTTAATCTATTCTTCTATTTTAGTACAGGTAGTGTTTAGGAGGTAAGTATTAATTCTATTAATAAAACTAAATACGTTAGTATAAATAGTATTCTTACTATCTATTATTGTGCTTAAATTATTGGGGTCTTTATAATGTAGATTGAATATTCTAATATCATTTCTTTTTATTTTAAAGTAATAGCCTCTTCGGTTTATATTAATTATTAAATCGTCTATATTTAATTTATCCGTAGTGCCGGGTTTATTTATTCTAGTAGGGCTAGTAAAAAGTAAATAGTATAAGGTAGGTATTTTAGTTTTCAATTTCATAATTAGTATAAAGGTATTTTATATTAGGGAGGGTATTCGGATAGGGGATTTACGTCCTAGGAGTCTTCATAGGGGTACTTTAGTTGGTTGTATTAATAATGATGTTCTTTATGTGTTAATAACGGGTTCGCCCCCTGCTGGGTCTCCTTCGGCTTCTTCGGGGTTTTCTCCCCCGCTTATTACTAATGCCGGCTTATTAATAAATATTCTTTGGTTGGATAGTACTTTATCCAACTATTTATTTAACATTTCTTCTATTATATGTCTGATACTTTTAAATTTATTCTTTAATAATTTAACATTAGTTTTTTATATTCAGTTAGCCTAATTTAATTGTTCGCCGAATTCGAATATTTTTACATTAAGAATACAAAATCTTTATAATAGATAATCCATTGTAAATTCATTATTACCTAGGTTATTTGGTAGGGGGGGTTTATATTTACTGGGGGCTAACCTAATTAGTAAGATGAATTGTATTGAGGGGCCGCTATTATTATTATTATTTTTACTATTAGGGTTTTAAATTATTCTATACGGAATCGGGTTTGTACACGAATATATAGGCCGGGGCTAGTTAGTTTCGCGGAGGCTTTGCCTATTTTTTTTGATATTTTTAGGTTGGGAGGTGGGTCTAATTCAATAACTGATTTATTGTAAGTATTAAATTCGTTATTATTATTATTATTTAACAGGTCGTCGTTGCTTAGGTGATAGGCGGGGTCGTCATTATAATTGGATATATTCGATTTTCTTTAGCATTTATATTTAGATTTAGGTTAGGGTCTTTTAAGAGGGGGTTGAAAAGATAAAAGTTGGTTAATTATATATGTAAGTCTTTAAAGAAGTAGTAGAAGTATTTAATATAATTGATAATTATAAGTTGGGGAAGTTTCTAGATTTTAAGAGGAAATTATAGTTTTATAGGATATTTTTGTTTATTATAAATAGCTACGAGGGGGAAACCCTTAGCGTCGATATTTATTTGAATAAAAAATATAAAAAGGATTAGATCCGGGTAGTAACCGTTTCCCTATAGTATAAACCGCCGTGAAAACTGTTAGGGTGGGGTTTACCTAATTTTTAATTTTTAATTATTTAGACCCTTTTGAAAAGAGTTGTTTTTATAAGGTAGAAGTTTATAGAGTAGGCGCGAACTTCCGTCGGTGAAGATGGAAATATTAGTGTGTTTTGTAGGTGAAAGTACCTACTTCTACTGGGAATCGTTTGGGAAAGAGCGATTCCGTAGATATAGTAAAGATTATAAACGATAGAGAAAGTATTGTTTACTCGAATTCATTTGAAAAGTATTATTATTACTAACGTCTTTATAATATTGAGAACGACTACGAAAATAGTAATAGATCTAAGTTTACCTATATTCCCTTAAGAAGAGCTACGACGAGTATACTTATTATATTCAATGGTTGATTACTTAATATTGTTTGCATTTAAATAGTTGCTAATTTATAAAGAGTAAAAAGTCGGTTAAAAAATTTTTGCGCTTATAGCTACTATATAATGGCGGTTATTAGATAGGGTCGTTGTAAAGTGGTAAATATTTATGTAGAAAGAAGAAGGTCTCGGAGGCTCGGGAGCCTATACTAGCGATTGAGATTATAAACCTAGTCGCGGGTCGCTTCCTTATCTAATTTAAAGTGGGCCAGCGATTTATAGGCACCTGCGCTTGAATTGCGTATATAATTACTACCGTCCCGGCAGGCAACCTGCCTGCCGCGGGTATGGTTTAGTCAGCATGCCCAAATGGTTATAACGGCTATGTACAGAAATAAGCCCATCCGGCATCACGCTTTTTATAATAATTATATATATATTATTCGGATATTAGAAGTAATAGAGTTTAAAAATTTTTAACTTTAAAAGTTGGGGGAGAATTGTAATAGTTCCCATATTATTTTTTCCAAACCTTTATTTTAAAGTATTTCGAATATTTATAATATTTAATGATAGACTCTAAAACTATATATACTCCTATATTATTTGGGCTTTCTAATTCGGAATTATTTATAAACGTAGATTCCTTAATATAATGCGCCTTTTTATATACTTTCTAATTATAATTTAAATTTCGGTTACGGCCTTGATTTCTATTGCGGTTCTGATTGCGGTATTGGTCGCGGTTATAATCGTAATTTCGATTATAATTTCAATTGCAATTGTAATTACGGTTTCGGTCGCGGTCTCAATTATAATTTCAGTCCCGGTTAAAATTTAAATAGGGTTAGTAATCCGTTATTATATTAGAATCAAATTAAATCCGGTTATTGTTTATATTTAAATTAACGGCGGTAAGAAGGATTACCCTAAATTCAGTAATGAATTGTATATAACTAGCGCACGAATTGTTTTTGGTAGGAGTTTTTGAAAATTATTTAATATAGAAATTTATATTAAACTAAATTTATATTATTATTCCGTACCAATTCTTATTCTTTTTAAATAGGGTACCCATCGCTTTAATATAATATATTTACTATTAAAAAAAATATATAAAGGCTCTATTATTACTATTAATATTTTTTGAATATATATATTTTCTATTAAATTTTAAGGTGGCCGTAGTTAAATTAAGAGTAATTTGGCTAATAAGTTAGTCGAATAGTTTATATATACTTTTATCTTTGTATTTTATTTTAGTATTATTATCGATTTCTACTATTTACTAGATTCTAGTTGTCCCTACTAAGTACGTATAGAATAGTTGGGTAAATTGCTTATTTATTTTATTGTTAATCTGATATTACCGAGAATTTAAAATGAAAAATAGTATTTATTTGTGAAATGTATAAACGTTAGTATACGAAGTATATTTTCTATTTATCATGTTACCCTAATTTTTAGGATTATTTCTGTTGGGATTAAAGGTTTTAATATTTTTGTATTTAACTTTTTCGAAGTCTTCGTTATTATTATTAAAATAGTTATATTCATAATATCGGTCGTTAGGGTCTTTATTCCTTTCTCTACCTTCTTTTATCAGGGATTTACTACCTCTACTACCTACCGTGTAGTATAAATTACGACCTCTATTATTAAGAGTACGTAGGTTATTAGTTCTACCTCCTCCTTCGTTGGACGGGGAATTAGGCGGGCCTTCTCCTCCGTAGTAGGGCGGGTTATTATTACTATATATAATTTCGACGTCGCCTAACATCTCTTCGGTTAGGATATTATTGTGGTAATAATGGATTTAGCGGGGTAATTAGTAGATGGAATATTAGGGTTAATACTAAGTCTTTAAAATTAATACTATATTTAGGCCTTAGTAGGGGCGGGTATTGATACTCCTCTAAAGTTAGATTGGACTATAAGTATTGGGTTAGTAGTCTAAGGGGGGGTGGATTAAATCCGAATTATATTAACGGTAATTCTAAATTTTAGTAGTATAGTAATGATCTTTGGCTTAATAATTTTATTAATGTTTTAGCCGACTTTAGTAAAAAATCCGTACTTCCGAAAGGGGTTAGTAGGTAATCATATCTTATATAGAGTTTCTTCCGGTATAGCTTTAATAAAGCTATAAAAGGCCTATAATTTATTTTTGCGACTATTTTAATTAAGTAGTTATATATTATAATTTCGAAGGGTAAGCTAAATATATTATTAGCTTCATTAATAGATATCCTAATTAGCGGTTTAGATATTAGTTTAATAAGAATTAATAAGCCTTTATTATCCTTAGCCTAAACCTAAATAGGGCTCGGAGGGGTATAAGGGTTATTGGATAATCCTTTTAATACTTTTTCGCGAATTTCCTTTATTACTTTTATACGGATATTATTAATTTGTATAGTAATATTTTCTATAATAATTTTGATTGTTTCCTTCTATTAATTAATTAGTTTTTTAATAGTATTCTTCAAACTTACTTTAAAGTACTTCTTTTGGGTATTAGTTTACTCTTTTAAAGCGGTTTGAAAATTATTATCAATATTATTATTATTAGTCTTATACACGCTAACTATTTACATAGTTCGCCCTGTGGGCATGCGGTGCTGCTTCGCTCGTAGTCGGTGGGAAAAACCGTACTATAACAGCCGGATGAAAACCCTCCGCTTCGCTATCGCTACGGCGCCGTGTCGGCTCCGTGCCGTCCCGTTTTCCTTCCTCTCAGTATAACCTCACTGTTATAACCGAGGTTATAAACTTTTATTATATACGTAGCCGACCCTACCCCGACCAATCGCCACCCTCCTTCCGTCTTCCCGCCGTTACTTCCTTACAGTCGGTAGCCTTTCATCCCATCTTTCCTCAATTACGTTATCCCGGGTCGCCCAGTTTGTCTATAAAGGAAACCTCGACCCGGCTCTCTCTTTCCTTCCCTCTTTCCTTCCTTACACCACGCCACCGCCTCCGCCGCGTTGTGTCCTATTATCAATATTGTAATACTATAATATATAAACCCATTCGTATTATTTATTTAATTAATTAACAAACTATTTAATTTTAGTAAATTAGCTTATAAATATACTATTAACTTTTACTATTTACCTAATAAATAAATTATCGATTTTCTTATAATCCTTTTCCAATAAGTTTTACATATAAATGAATTAAAGAGTAATTTCATTAAATAAGGAATTAATTTATCTATTGAATTTAGTATTTAAATATTCAATCGACTCCCTATTATTACTAAATTTAGCTAGTCTTGCCGGGAGAATTTTATTTAGGTCGGTGCGGAATAGACTTATAATTTTAAAATCGCGATCTATCTTCGATAATATTTCAATATTTTTATTTATTACTAATTTATAGCGAAGATAGTTTATAGATAGCTATTG